GCTAATATTAGAGTGAGGAAAAAATAAAAGACTAGGAGACAGTGTAGCTACTCCTGTTTAATGGTTTACTATCACATTTCACTCATTAGCTAACAAAACTGAAATGGTGTTTCTTTAGCAAGTATCATCCTGAGGAGTTTCTGAGAGGTCATCTAACATAAACATTATTAACATAAACTTAACTCTCTAAAATTGACCCGTTCGGAGTTGACATCACAGCTCGGGGTTCGTTCGTGAAAGGAAAGCGCCGCTTTGCATAGTCTACATTTAGGTTTCTTTTCTGTGAAATGATATCATATTTTTTTAAATGTCTGTTTCCATTTTCTGCCGTCCTCCTGTTTTGTCGTTTGTGCTACATTTCCTATTTTCTACTTGTGTTCTGCTTCTTTTCACAACTAAGACCAACACATGGTGTCAGAGTGCGCTTAGTGATATTTCTTCCTTTTTTCTATTCATTCATTCTGTCTCAGAATCTGGTGTTGAATCTTTAATGTTTATTTTCTTTGGACGTTCGAATTAAGTTTTGATGTAAAGAATTAAACTGCAAAAATAGTATATATATTTTGTAGCCATGTGATGCAAAATGAAAGTATTAGTAGTAAAGATATATGTTGTGGAATGTAAGGAGCTTAACAATTTGCTCACCCTGTTGACATTGCTGCTGAGATTGAGAATCACGGTGTCACACTATCCCCCTCATTAAATATTCATTTTTTTAGGGAGTCATGGAAAGGGGATTCACACTATATCCTGTGTGTGTGTATGTGTGCATGCGTGTGCAGGAGTGGGGAGCTTGATTTGTCTGACAGTTAGTAGAGGTTAATGGGATCAGCTGGCTTAGGGAGGCATCTTTTCAAGTGTTGATAATCTCTTAGTCCACATGGAGAGAAAACCCTCGCTCTGGGAAGGACATATTTTACAAGCAGCACTTGACACCGGAGGAACCTTGATTTGAATAATAATGCAAATAAAGAGACATCTAGATTCAGACTTTATTTAATTAGTTTCTGGTAAAATACATAGGTTTGACAGAATGATCAAATTAATCAAAAGCAAAAGAAATGCATTATCCATGCGGGTGAGATTTAAATGAACAGATCCTGAGTGTTTTAATAACATATTGTTAAAAAACCAAAGGTGGTGACTCGTACATTGTTGTGTTGTACAAAGAGATTAGTGCTGTAACGATTTATTGAGTATTTCAAATAATTCGATTGTAAAAGAAAAGTTTTCGACAGAAATTCTTTGCGTCAGCGTTTCATTTAGCACACTACTGTCACCATGGACAGACAGACGCAAGGGTTTAACCCACATTTGCGACTAAAAACAGACTTTAAACAAAAACACTGATAACACAACAACAGCAGATGGTGAGCTCGGGTTGAGTGAAAGAAAACATGTTTCTACCGTCCAGAACTGCAGCGCTGTTCCTGTCCTCTCTGTTAAAACCTTTACTGGGGAAAAGGTAGCAGGTTTCCTTCATCAAAGCACCTGATCAACAAAGTCCCAAAGCCAGCTGTCTTGCTTAAGGAGTTTCTTAATAAGGTGAAGGACGTTTGCCACAGAGAGTGGTATTTAGAGATTTGTCTCACATATCTAATTCTATTGCCACAAGCTCACCTGAATTTGATTGAGGTTGTGAGAAAAGTTAGTCAAAATAAGGATGTTACGCAAGCACTATACAAAGACAGTTTGTTCTTTTTGTGTTGTGTATTCTTTCAGTAAGTTCAGTCTAAAATGTACTGGTCTTTAAAGGGAAGTTTGATTTACAGATAAGGTTCCAAAAAGCACAGAGCACAAACACATACTGCCAGTTATCACGGTAAATATTTCACAATACTGTTTAGTTGATCTGTCCTGTCAAATCTCCGCAATAGATTAAAAAACAAACAAAACAACACATTCAGTAGAAATTAGAAATTTCAGGAATCCATCCCGTCTGAAACTTACATTAACTTTATAAAGTATAAAATAACAGTTCCCAGACCCCCCCCCCCCCAAGAATAAATTAGTACCAGGCATAGATGTCTCTTTAACACTGTCTTCAGTGCCACCTCAAGCTGTGGCAGGAGGAAATACGACCTGATGTGGGAAACAATGATTTATTTCTTGAACGGAAATAAAAAATAATAATAAAATTGGTTCTATAACCAAACACCATCCAGACACCACAAAATACTTTTGTGGTGTCTGCCCTTGTAGAGAAAAATTTAGTGTTTTTAGGTCTAGACAACCCAAAATGTGATGTCCACGTAAGTGAACGCCAGGTCCTAGGAGGTTAAAAATGACTTGCAGAATCTAGATGGGAGATGTTTTGATTATGTACTAAAGTCTTCCTTGGTATCGACTGATGGGGTTGGTTTGTTAGATTTCTTAGGTGAAATCAAAAAGACTGGATGAGCTTAAAGATGCAAGATTGAAAATTTTAATACTATGCTCACCAAAATAATACCAGGATGCTTGGCAAGTTATTTGATATTATCCAGTGAGGAGGCAGAGTGACATCCCTAGTGAAATAACAACAAACACTTCGATTGAAAGGGGCGAAAAATGTTGGTGTCTGTATCGGGTTTTGGACATTTAGTTATTTTAAAAGCCTGTGTGGTGTACCTCTCTGTGTGTAGATAAATGTTTGTGGTGTGTAACTCTGGGTACTGGTACTGTTACCAAATGCAGCCTAAAAGTGATATGGAGTTCTCTTGTAAACAAGTAATGTTTTTCACTATTACTCAGAATGTGTTGTGGTTTCCAAGGTCTGATGAGCCAACTAAATGCATTTCCGTGAAAATATCTGGTTTTGTATGTTTACTGGCATGAACTCTTCCTGATTAAGCGGAATATTGCGAAAGCAGTAGCTGGACTGAGCATGTCCTGCTTGACCCTCTCAGATAAAAATGTTTCCATTAGCAGAACTGGAAAAATGCCACAGCTTACCATTCATCTTGTTTCTTACTGCATAATTGAATTACAATGATTTTGGTGGATTTTGGTGTGGTTTAAAGCTGCGTGCCAAAGATTAGGTAAATTTTCTGACTCCTAACTTTATTTAGATTTCTAAAAACATGGCGATGGGTTCATTGAAAATTGGCAAAAACAGTATGTTGTTTTTTTTTTTTTCTCTTTTCCTTTTCCTGCCCTGGCTTTTGAGGCTGACTACAAGTTCACTATTCTTTTGGGAGGACAGGCAAACAAGCTACTACTGATGAGATTCCTGGATAGATTGTGTGCTGCTCTTTTTGTGTTGGTGCACAACTGTGGTAAAGCGGTGTAGTGTAGGGACCTACAGGAACCATTATCATATCCAAAAAAAGGTTTTTTGTTTTTTTTTTAAATAAACTCCTGAACCATGGAAAAGAACTGGAAAACAGAGCACTTATGAGCAAGGCTTCTTCTGGGTGTAGTCACTAGAGGTGGAAACTGAGAGCAGGCTCCAAAATGTCCAGTCTATTGAATTGCTTTGCCTCCAAGCTTTTCAGTTTCTTTCATCAGTGCGTCAAAGCGTGCTAAGGTTGCACTTTGCAAAACAATGATGTGAAACTGATTGGAATTTTTGCACACCTGAGTCATATGCTTGCCTTTTTCTGCTCTGGTCCTATATGCTGTTCAGACTCGGATAATAAAACTGTTGTATTGATGCTAAAATGTCTTCTTTTTTGCCAAAAAATATTGATCAGCATTGAAGTAGAGAAGCAAAATGAATGAAAGCTTCCATAGATTCCATTTTAGGGTTGAAGCCAAGCTTGACAAAGCTGCTTAAGTAGTTCAGTGCCCCAAATTGGTTATTAACATTCAAATATAGAAAAATGAAAGCAGCATTGTACAAATGTCCTTATTTTGAATAAGTGAACTAGTAGTTATCCATGTTGTCTGGCGACTCTGATGCATTGTGTTGCTGTGCATTTCATGCCGCAAGACGCAAGTGGTTTCCTTTGTCACGGTTTTCAGATCTTTAATCTGCATGAAAAACTTGAAGTCAAAGGCTAAGTGCTGTAATACTCCCACTCTGTCAGTCTAATCTCTTCTGATGTCTGCTTGCATACACTGACTCTTCCTGCTTGTCACTTTCCAGTTGAATCTACCACACCCTTCGCTACAGACGCTTATATAACTACCAGGTCAAGGCAGCCCCCCCAATCCAACTGCTGACTGCTGTTGTTGTTTGCAAGACTGTCACGTTGATCTTGTTAGGTGTGTGCTAATGGGCTGCCATTAGTTTACCTGCTTCTCGCGATTTAATCAGCTTCCCAACAAATGATTTAACACAATTTCAATGGAGCTATTATATTTCAGGCATTACCATTAGAGTTTGCCCCCAGCTCTCTCCATCGACATCCTAAAACTCTTATGAATGCCATTTTGTAGCAGCTAAGCAGCTGATTAGACAGTAACATTTCTACGTGTAAACACCAGAAACCGGTGATTTTTCTCATCCTGTTGCTATTCTGTTGTTTTTGTGTCATTTTTGCATCTTTAGACACCGTGGGCTAGTAACACAGCCACTTGGCTTTCAGTCAAGTTGAAGCAGTGAGCCTTAAACTCGTCCTACACCGGGATGAAAGACTAATATTGGACGGATTTTCTTTAACCCTTACAGCAGCTCAGTGTAATATCTCTGTGACTTAATCTTTGAAGAATTCACTTTATTTAAAAGCTCCTAAAATCAGTTTTTCTTTTATTGGTCTCTTTCCTATGTGATTCTCTCTGTTTTTTTTAAGTGCACTGATAATTAAAAATGAGAGATCCCTTTGTTCTTATGTGAATATTGTTAGAAAGGATGCAGTGGATGACAAAAGATGAACTAGATTTTTATTTACCACAGTAAAACTCAAGCAGTTCTGCTGTTTACATATGTTGCCAGGGGGACACCAGTGTAATCCACACCACTCCCAAACCATTCCCGGTCTTGCTACAATAACAACCGTATCATCTGTAATAAACTGCTTCAGTTTGTATCAGTTGCCTCCCGTCTCACAGCCGCCTCTCTGTGCTTTGTTTTACAGTTACTAGGAGCTGCATTCTTGGGTATAGGCTTGTGGGCATGGGCGGAGAAGGTATGTATAAACACATGCACACAAACACGCTGGCTACGGGTTACCACATAGCTAAAATTCTTCCAGATATCCTAGCTGTAATAAGCTGGAAGTATAATTCATCGGATGGAGTTTGGATGTAAACAGCTTTTGAGAAGAGTGGCGTGGAAAATAGAAGCTCCATTCCTGTAACACTTTGTAGCACTTAAAGGCATATAACCTCATAATGTTCCTGGTAAACACGTCTCAGGATATGAATTATGCTCACTGCTGCAGCTCCAGTGTGATGTGTAACTAAGTTTTGTTGAACCAATATCGAGCTAATGGTTAAATTGTTTTTCCGGTGATTGGAGCTTTAAATGGCTGTGGCTGCAAATAAGGAGCCATAGGGTCCAAATGACACACTCATTTGACTTACAGCCACCAGGATTTGAATGCCTTGTGCTTCGTCTCGTATGAAAGCCTGTTGCACGATAAATTGGATCGTATATTTGCGCAGGAACTGGTTCGCTGTTTATTGTCAATGCTGGACAGGCTACAAAGATCAGGTGTTGCCATTAACCTCTCGTGTGCAGTGAGTCATGGCTACGTTCAAAACTTCTTTCAGAGGAGTTACCAGTCAATTTGTTCATTAATTAGCAAGAAATCGCTGCACAAGCGTGGAACCATGTACTGATTAGTAACGTCTGGTCATGAACTCTGTGCAAATCGGCCTGCGCTGGAGTACCTTTGTGGAGCAGCGTGAATAATTTAAAGGGATTAGGGTGAATGATGAATAGTGGTTGCTGGAAAGTCGTAATGGTGAGTTTGGGTCTCAGTGACTAAGATGATTAGTTTCAAGCCTGCTGTGCACAGCCAGACTACATTATTGTTTCAGGGCCTCCTGCTAAAATTTAAATGCGTGCAGTTTATTCTGCAGCAGTGCCATAAAAACATGAGCATCCAGCATTGCCTTCATCCTACAGTTTTGTCCTTGCTCAATGCAGAGGGAGATTAACTCAGTACGAGAGCTGTCTCGACTTTAGCTGCAAGTGTTGGGCATGTTCACTACAATATATGACAAGCAAACAGGATGTCAGACTGAGAGTGGATACACATAGTGGTTTCCTTTTTCAAAATAACTGAAAAATATGGCAGGGATCAGGGTTGTACAAAAATATGTTAATAAAACAAGCTTGAAAACGTTTTTATGGAGCTTTCGCAAAGTACCTTCTTTAGTGTGCTATCCAGAAACAATAACGACGCCCACTGTTACTGCGGAAGAAATACTAATTTCATTTCCTGCTGGATTTGTGTGATGTTTGCTCACTTCCAAAGAAATAAACTGTCTCTATTTTTCATTTTAATAATAATAATAATAATGGATTGCATTTATATAGCGCTTTTCGGGACCCCTCAAAGCGCTTTACAATACCACTATTCGTTCACTCTCACATTCATACACTGGTGAAGGCAAGCTACAGTTGTAGCCACAGCAGCCCTGGGGCAGACTGACAGAGGCGAGGCTGCCATATCGCGCCATCGGCCCCTCTGGCCAACACCAGTAGGTGAAGTGTCTTGCCTAAGGACACAACGACCGAGACTGGGCTCGAACCGGCAACCTTCCGATTACAAGACGAACACCCAACTCTTGAGCCACGATCGATTTTAATGAAGACAGCCAGAATATGAACCAAAAATGTAGGGGGAAAAAACCCACATTTACAGTTATAAATTGATTTCCAAGGCTTTGAGTGAGATAGGTATTTGATCTCCAAGCAAAACATGACATATAGTACTTGGTGGAGAAACCTCAGTTGGCAAGCACAGTGGTAAGATTTTTCTCATTGCACTGAGCCCCAGACTGAGGGCGATTTATGTTCATTTTCTATTTCTTTCATTTCGGAATAATCGCACCAACAGTTGTTACATTCTCACCAAGTTTCTTGGTGGTGGTGTCGTAGCCCATTCCAGCCTTGTGCAGGTCTACACGTTGTCCCTGACAGACTTTGACAGCTCTTTGGTCTCGCCCTTGGTGGTGGAGAGGCTGGACAGGTGTGCTTTGTACGCTTTTTACGCTTAACAGGCTGAGATCAGGACTATCCTTGACTGATTGATTGATTGGCTCTGTGCCCACACACACTCGTGGGAGCCAGAATTCTGGCTGGTTTGCAGAGGATGAAATACTTGTTTCACTCAATGACATGTGAATAATTTCATATGTAATGCAAACTTTATGTAATGTGTTTTTTCTCAAATTTTGGATAATATTCTATCTACCTCCATTAAAATGAAACTATCATAAAGATTAGACACTAATCATTTAATTGAAAATTTTGGAAAATTCAGCCTAAGATCAAATTTATTGCATCAAAGTTGCAATATACAGTATAGTTAAGAATTGGGAATGATTACATGTGAAGTCTGTCTTGTTGTAAATAATTCTAAGAACGCAGAGGCTGACAAAATAAGATGGTGGTCACACTGTGGCTTTCAGAGAGGAGAGTGGAAGGACAAATGTCTCTGTGTTTTCAGGAGGCTTTGAAGTTTGCCTCTTGTGAGAAGTTACTTGTTTTATAATTTTGCCACAAAAATGCCATAGAGTGAGTGCATGTTGCATTTAAACTGATAACAAAACCTCAGCGAGGTTCTTTATTTTATTTTGAAAACATCACATTGATCTATAAGAATGTAATGGAATAACAGTATTTCAGTTTATTAAATTTCCCTGCTACAAGTCTGCATCTGTGAACGGGGCCCAGCAGGCTGTGACATTAGTTAAATCTCACTTTTTCTCTTTGACATCACAGGCTCTTCTCAAGGTTAACTGTGTTTTTGTAAAAGGAGAATTTTTACTGAGACCTTGTCATAGGGATGGTAAGGATTGATTTTGGAAATATTATGGTCTGAATTTTAACCACTCTTTTGTCTTCCCCCTCAGGGCGTGCTGTCCAATCTGTCATCCATCACAGATTTAGGGGGCTTTGACCCTGTATGGCTCTTCATCGTCGTCGGAGGGGTCATGTTCATTCTGGGCTTTGCTGGATGTATCGGAGCGCTCAGAGAGAACACCTTACTGCTTAAATTTGTAAGCCACCTCTAGGCTTTATGTGCACAGACACTGTTTTAATTATTTCACACCCCTTAGATCTGCACTTCACACCAGGGCTGAAGGTATCTGTGTAGCAGGTGTCACTTTGACTCGTCTGAGCCAAATGCTATGAATGATGGTGTGGCACATCATACCTCATCAGTAAACCAAATCCTGTTTAATGATCAGAAAGGTATACTGATCCACTGAAGCCTATTTTTTTTTTTGTATGCGTATTAGGCAGTTCTTTCTTCAACCACAACACCACCAGGATTTATTTGGGTTCAGCTTTATTGATAAAAACCTGTGACTGACAGAGACAAACTCGCCTTGTTGCTGCCTGTGATTCTGAGTAGCTATTAACTCCAGCAGATGTCCATTAGCAGCAGTAAATCAGGCATCAGCGTGAGGAGCTAATGCGGCTTTTTTGCATTTATCATCAGCATCTTCTCCTACATTTACTGTAAAGGGATTATTCAATAGGACCTGTGGGAGTGCAGTTTTTATTGCCACACTCTCACTTAGCAAATCAGGACAGGCCCTACAAACTGACCTGCACAGGAACATTACATTAAAGATGTTCTTACACTCATTTTTAAGCAGAAGCGGGGAAAGGCACAGGATTTTCTTTGGTGCTCCTTGTTCTCTGCTTGAAGTGACAGGTGTATTGTTTTCTGTTTGCATGTGTTTACTTGTACTTTTCAGTTTTCTGTGTTCCTGGGTTTGATCTTCTTCCTGGAGCTGACTGCAGGGATCCTTGCCTTCGTCTTTAAGGACTGGATCAAAGACCAGCTTAACTTTTTCATCAACAATAATGTCAAGGCATACCGCGATGACATCGACTTGCAGAATCTCATCGACTTTGCCCAGGAATATGTGAGTTCACCCCCACCGATGGTATCTCTTATCTTAAAATCGTTCATGTCTCTTTGCTGGAAGAAGTTACTCCCTTTCTTAGAAATGCGGCTGTACATGTGAGCTCAGAAAATGATGAGTCAGCCTTGTTATGGTAAGAATGAAGAGACTCAGCTGCTGCAAATGTGGAGTGGTTTTTCTGATTAATGTGATTGTATTTCGGTCAAATGGCTATCCAATTATATGGAGGAAGCAGTTGAGATCATTTGCTCCTGTGTGTAAATGCTAGGTTCTGTCATGAGGCACCCTAAAGGCGATTAGATTGGCTTTTGTGTTCATACTTGAATCTCACTGTTTGTAGTCATTACCTGCCATAGTAAGCTAACAACCTAGGCTGACCTGAGCCAGCCTGTTAAGGGCTCAGATGGCAAGATCAAAGAAGGTACATCTGTGTGTTTACTAGAGTTAGCTGTTTAATCTCTGCTTGTTGTTGTTTTTTGTCCCAGTGGTCATGCTGTGGAGCGCACGGGCCTGACGACTGGAACATGAACATCTACTTCAACTGCACTGACAGGAATCCCAGTAGGGAGCGCTGTGGCGTTCCCTTTTCATGCTGCATCAAAGACCCTGCAGTGAGTCGCGTTTCAGCAGCACAAACAACTGTCCATAATCAGCTTTTTGTTTCGTGTAATACTCTGTAGCCATGCATCATGTGTGTCAACATAAGAAGTTTCTCTCATGCAAAGAGTCATTATTTCAAACCTTCTGACCTTAGGTAAAATTGTAACGGATGAATGTGGTCGAGGATCCCATTTTAATCTCCATTTGGTTTGGGTTTTTTGCAGGAGGATGTCATCAACACGCAGTGTGGTTATGATGTTCGGCAGCAAATGGTTGGTATCTCTTCTATTTCTGTAGATCTCTTTAGACAAGGAAATCAAGGAAATCTGTAATTTAGAGTCCCAACAAATTGCAACGCTTAACCAGTTCTCATACGATAGAGTCAGCTGCAAATGTGGAGTTCTGCAGGAAGAAAGCAATCTTGGTTAAAATGATGCAATGCTGCTGGAGAGAAATACTCCCGAGGGCGAATTGACTGACAGCCTGCAAACCCGTTTGACTGAAACGGTCTAAGTTGTCGAACGCAGAGTGACGGTTGGGTTCATTTGTATTGGACTTGATTGTCAGTCGATCAAAAAGTGAATTTGTGTTTGAAATGCAAAGGAAAACCAATTAAATGTGAGATTTTATGGCATTCTCTGCATTCTCTCTTTAAAACTACTATAGGTAAAACCAGATGGCTGGTGTTAGATATAGAGAACATAGTGGGTTAAGTAGCTTACACAGACTAGTCTGTATGCTTCTTGCCTTAATAACAGATTGTTCTTCTAACAGGGATAATTAGGCTCCAGTTATAGCCTCAAGAGCAGCCTTACTACACTCTGTAATTGGCGACTCAGTGGGTTATGCCAGTCCGTTCCCCTTTCCTCTGTGTGTGTGTGTGTGTGGGTGTGGTGGTTACAACTCACTGCACTGCAGTCAGAAAGATTGCTGTTGCTAGGCGAGCTGCAGTACAGTGAACCACCTGCCATTGAGTTGCTATGAATTCATTTTCTGTGCGCTAACACCCTGGCCATTGACATTTTGCTGAAACTATCAGGGATGTGCAGAGAGTTCCTGTGCAGCACCTGAGCGGGGAGCAGGGTGGGAAAGAGGAAGAGCAGGAAGTATGGCAAGGACAGGAGCACAACAAAGGCAAAGGGCTGAAATAGCTTTAGAGGAAGTCCACAGCTATAACAACATTGCATTTCCTGCTATTTTTTTTGGCTGCAAAGTGGCTCTCTCTACCTCATTGGTCTAAAACTAGATTTCAAGTTCTGGGAGAGAACAAAAGATTTTCCTGGTTGACTTGTCTGAAGGATAACAAAGAATGAATTGTACAGCGGCACTGATTCTTATCCCCTTTTTAGTTTCGTTGCAGCGTTAATTAAACCTGTTTTTGTTTTTTTTGTAAAAATGTTCGTGTCTGAGTAAAGCACGTACATCATCAGCTGGATCCAAAAGCAGAAATGGCCATCTGTCAGGCAACAGGAAACAGCTTTTGTCTGTTCAGTCCACCAGTGTCCTTGGTGGAAAAGAATACACTGCATTGATAGTCAGCGTAATTGAGAACACTGACATGTTGCAATCTTAGGCTGTGACTCAGCTTATCGTGAGGTCTTCACGCCCTCATCAACTGTGATGGAGTCAGTGGGCAAAACACTATCTTGTGTTTGTGTCCAGCATTAGTCATAGGGCAGAGTACCAGTTTTTGTTTAAATAATGAGCAATGCCAGCTTCCTCTCAGAGAGCTGATCATTCAATATGCTGTAAATTAAACACGTTTTCTCGCTCAAAACTTTAATGCACTTGAATTATGCTCATGTTTGTGAAAAAGGAGTTGGACCGGCAGAAGTTTATCTATACGAAGGGCTGCGTGGGACAGTTTGAGAAGTGGCTTCAAGACAACCTGATTATTGTAGCCGGCGTCTTTGTTGGAATTGCACTTTTACAGGTAATGAGCTGTTGTTTGGAGATTTCTCACACTAAGAAACCTGCTGTATCGCAAATGAGGCCTTTAATTAACACTAACAATAGTTCTAGTTTTTTGATTTTATGTCTTCGCTTCCATCTAGTGTTGAGAACATGTAACTGTAGTTTGGTTTTTTTTGTTTGTTTGTTTTTTTTTGCCTTAATCCGGTGACTTAAAATCCTGTGTGGCCTTTTTAAAAAATGTTTTTATTTTCTTCTAGATTTTTGGTATCTGCCTTGCTCAAAACCTCGTGAGTGACATCAGAGCTGTCAAAGCCAACTGGTGACAGGAGAATTGAAGTGGGGCGGCCCCAGCACCAAACTCGCATAGCACACCGTCCGGCTGAGGCGGACAGCCGGCAACTTTTGCCACTGAGCTAAGCAACACACACACACATGCTCTCACACACCGATATGTGTGTGAGTGACGCTTGAAAAAGAAAATATATTTCACAGACAAACCAAACAGTCAGAACTTTGTTTACCACTCAGCTGGGATTTTAACCCAAATATACAGAAGAGAGTCCTGCCTACTTTTTTCCCCCCTCTATTATTTTTTTTTTTCTTTCGACAAATTTATTTAAGGCACGCAGTTGCACAAGGACTCCAGAAAACTCGGAGATCAGAAGCCATGGATAAAAGACAAAACAAAATGAGGAAAAACGTCTGCTTTTTAAAAAAAAAAACAAGGAAAAAACACCTCAAGCAACATGTTGTCACAGAACCTTTGTCCTGCTCCGCAAGGGGGCTGAAGATCTTCCCTTAAAGTCAGCTCGCACCCACCTCCACACTTCCTTCTCCTCCAGAGGACGATGACTGGCTGGCCACATGGATTCGTCTGCGTGTCATTTTTCTCCTTTGTGACCTTTTTTATGACCACTAAAAAAACAAACAAAAGAGAGACAAAAAACTGAACACTGGTCGGTCATATCTGCAAATTTAAGTCACTTCAAGAGTTTTCTGTTCAAGTTCAAATGTAAAAAGTGCCATTAATTTCCAGTTTTGTGTCCTTCCTGTTCTGTACATGGAACTTGTGCACCTCGACCGCCCCCTTCCCTTATACCTCAGGGCCTGGCTAAAAAATGTGTTTCCTGCCGCCAGTTAAAAGCATATCTTATTTTTCCATCCGTGTCTGTTGAATTTAGATAAACGCCAAAAGTTACCCCATTCGCCCTATGGTGATTGCATCATCTGTTGATTGAGTGTATTGTATGACATGAAATAGTAAGGATTGTAAGTGTGTGCTATACAGAGAAAGGGGGTTTAATGATAGAGGTTGTTGTTTATCTCCGAGCATCCCTCAGGCACATGGGATTGCTAGTTTGGGGCCTTTTTATCTTTTTTTCTTTTTACTTGACTTCTGTGTACCATATTTGTCTTATATTTTTCTCTTTGCAAAAGAACATATGTCTGTTGTTAAAGATGTTCTTTTAATTCTTCATTCATTTCCTGTCATTTATAGATAAATCTGTTCTCGGGTTCATTGTTAAGCTTTACAGGCACCTGTTTTACTTCCAGCTCATCAGTCAGCTGCAAATTAGCTTCGTATTGTGAATGTTAGCGGTCCTAATGGAGACCAAATAATATCATTAGCTAACTGCCAAGGTTTTGTCTGGCCACAATTCTGTTGTTATTAGGAATGCCAAACGATAACAAATGGCATTTCCACGGCCAAAATGTGAATTCATTGTCCCTCCATGTGGGAAGTGCCAGTTGAACCTAGAAATCAAATGACAATTAAACAATGTTACAGTAACGCTTTTATCTTTTAATTCAGTGTTGTCTTTTTTATTTTTTTCTTTTTGGATTGTTTTTTTTTTTAAAAATAGAATAGCAAATACACGCCGTACCTTTAATATTAGCGACAGTCTCAATATAACATGAATGCTGCTTTTAACTTTGACTAGATTATTGATGGTGTATTACAATAGTCGAGCTAACAATCTATCTCACGTGGCGGCATTTGTAGAAAACGGTCTGGCCGCTACGGTTTCCATCTGAGGAAATAGTCACATTGTTTTTCATGTTAAAGTTTACACATTATACGTCACCGCCTTTTTAATTATTATGGGGTCCCCCCCCCCCAATTTATTCAGTCATTCAGAACACTCTTGGAGTGAGTTCAGTTCTGCTATAACTGGCTTCACTCAGTAATTCTGTATATTATTCAAAGCATTTAACCACAACAGCTGTTTCTGGCTGTCACAATGTCATTCGGATACATTGCACAAGCTAGATTAGGAACGGATTTACTTGACTGCACACACAGGTCCATATATACACTTTAGATATATACACACACTCTCAAAAATGAGAAAACATGTTTGGAATTGCAATGCAGACTAGCTGAAAGATGAGTAGCATTAATATTCTGTGAACAGTGCAGGAAAACTTTCCCTGCTTCTCTCTCAGAGTCGGTCTGCAGAATACATATACATAGGAGTTCTTTCAGCGACGCCACCTTAAGATCGTCTGTCGTGTGCACATGTCACATGTTGCTTTTCACCCACGCCCCCTCCCTTTTGAAAAAAAAATCAAGAATCTACCTGATCATAGTGCACCTGTTTCAGAGCCTCTACCATTCTGATGTATTTTTAAACATCGGGCTCTTTTGACAAAAGAGGAACACACGACAAAGTGGGAGTCATTTGAGTTTAGGCGCCGCGAATGCACAAGTAGAAATATCGCCAGCGGAGAACAATGCATCTGCACAAGAGCGACAGAGCCTTAATGACTTCTCCCCGGTTCAGGTAGATGCGTGTGTATAGGAGAGGCTCATTTATATCAGCACTTTAGGTCTAATCAGTGAGTAACAGCTTCCAGTAATCTCCAAAAACAGATTTCATTTAGAATAAATATGGAGTCGTTTTACAGGATGTACTTGCAGTTAATTCTCACCTGGAGTTATATTTTCGTGACGTGCCGTGAAAGTTGTTTGTCATGCTTTGTGTGTGGGCTTCTTTGATTTCACTTACTGTTCAGTCTGTTAGATGAATCTGGATGAAACCTGTGTGTGTGTGTGTGTTTTGTTGTTTTCTTTTTTCTCTTCCCTCCATACATCTGTGGGTTGAAACGAATGTGTGCCACTAATTAACAAATGAGAAAGTTTAACAAATCTGTGAAGCATTTTCATGTTTTTTTTTTTTTGTTGTTTTTTTTCTCTTCTAAAAATCTTAATTGGAAAGTCTTTGCTCAGGGTCTTTAACACACCGTTCCCTCCAAAGACCAAAGAGAAATAACAGAAGAGTGCATTTGCATAGGATGAGATCCTGTGTTATGTTTGATGAAGTGAAGAGCTGCAGCCGTTTGAGTTATGCTGAGGATCTGGCTGAACGCAGGCGGAGGCCGTGAGTGTCAATTCTCCTGGACTACAGTTCTGCAGCTCTTAAATAAAAACCGCTCTGCAGCCAACATCATGCTTGAATGGATGTGCCAAGACAGTCACCTTGGTAATAAGGATAATGATGCCATAATAATTCGCAGTAGCCGCCTGGCAGGATTTAAATATGCAGACTCCACAGAGGTGAACTTGCTCGAGTATGTTTGTTTTTAACGGCTTTGGCTAATTCTGCTTTTGTATTCCTGTAATGCAGGGTAAAGCAGGAGGGAGAGAACGATGCTAATTACGCTTTGTCCTTTATCATAATGGCCTTGCATCAAGAAACACCTTCTTAATTTTCTCTGCTTCCCCCCTGTGGGTGCTTAAATCATTTCCGAGAAGGAGCCTTATACATACCATGAATGTACAAATCTGTTATCAGCGTGGACCTACTGCTCCACATTCAGTTTGAACTTCCCTTTATCCTGATGCAGTGCAATGCATAACATGAATCGAGATAAGGAATGTGAATCAAGAGTATGCGGAGATGTTTTAATGTTCTTTTCTTGAAGATTTTTACATTTTAAATATGTTGTAGCGAGCATGAAAGCGGATGAGCATTCCTTTTCCTCAGTCTCCAGGTGTGTGTGTGTGTGTGTGTGTGTGTGTGTGTGTGTGTGTGTGTGTGTGTGTGTGTGTGTGTGTGTGTGTGTGTGT